ACCTTAACTATCAAGTTTATTTATGTTTTTTTGTTAATGAAGGAGTTTAGAAGAGCATATAAATTGGTCGAATTGTTCAGGTACAGGTTCAGGTCCAGACCTGTACCTAAACCTGTGTACCTGTACCTGTACCTGTACCTAAAATTTGTTTAGGTACACAGCTCTACTTGTAGTACATGTATGTGAATGTGTTTGAGTAAGAATTAACAGAGCAGACCATGTCCGAAGGTAAACATTATGCAGTTGCTTTGCAAATGTTACTTCTCTAGTTAAATCTTATAACAGATCTGGGTCCAAGCGAGAATGTCTGTATATAATAAGGATGGCGTTTGGTAAAACTGTCATTTGAAGAAGCTGCTCGCCTAGTAGGCAAAATAACGACGAAACATGATGCATTCTACGCGCTAGGAGAGTACACAGGGTAATTAATTACTAATATCCAAGCAGATCCCTATTGGTGGCAAAAAAGACAGTATCAAATTGACCAGGCAGTATCCATTAGCCAGAGAAGGTCGCCGGCCGGCCACCGACGGGTTGGTGGGGGTAGCGACCAAAAAACGGCCACATATATAAAGCTAACGATCATTCCCGACAACCTCTGCTTGGAGAGCAATGAATTACCTGTAAATGGTGCCATTCAGGTTAACAGTTGGGCTCCACCAGGGGTTCGTTACTAGGTCATCAGGGCAGGGGTGGCGCTCCCTCCCGGTATGTAGGGCAGAGTTCATGCGTCAGGAGTAATCAAACTGCGATCCGGCAGCAGAGTCTAATGGGGGTTAAATAATGGACTTACGGATAAACTCATGTCATTTGGGAGCGATCCAACAGGGTAGAACGTTTACCTCCGTATACGGAGGTTTTGTTTTCAGTGTGCCTGTTTTTGTGGGTTTGTGTTTCCGTAGATTGTTCATTTGAGTTTACCATCAGATATACAAGTGGAGGGGAGGACAAAACAGGTGCGTTGACACCTTTACAAGTTGTCCTCCCAAACACAACATGCACAATATAAATACAGATTACAATATTGAATACAAAACAAATTGCAATAATGAACATCATTAACATGAAATATTATACATTAAACATCAAATTAATGTAGCTAGGAAAGAAGGGACACTGGTAGGACGTTAGGTGTAAGCTCACTGAAAGGTCCCAGCGAAGGTTTTCTTATTTATTGTCTTCAATTTCCTGCTATCTTTATGTCTGTTGCCTGATGTGAATCGGGAGGAAAATGCATCGACAAAATCAACGACAAATTCACAATAATGAATAAAACAGGAAAACTGCACACAACAAAGTAAATGTTTCACGGAGACAGATCTTCTGTTTCTTGTCGGTGCTTTTATTCTGACGCCCTATAGCTAGAGGCCACATCTATTCATGTGTTGTAGGAATGTGCATCTATCACAGCATGTTCTCGGGTTCAATGAACTGTAAGTGTGGCATTCTCAAAGCGCGGAATGGGGCGGCGCGCAAGTTTATTGCCATGAATAAATTGCACGGATGGACGCGAGGGAAGAGCGGTGTTTTAAAGGCAGTTTTCCCCACAAGTGTCCGCCCTAAGCACCCATCACAGTAACCACCGCAGTTGGCAGTTTTATATGACAGGAAATAACGCGCTGATCACTGTGTATATTTTCACGCTTGTAGCACCTGCCAAACCTTCTACACAAGTGTTTCATCATAACGCAACAAGACGTGTCACCGCGCACATATCAACTTTATAACGGTTAGGCGTGCTTGTATTTAACCCTATGACAGATTGCATGTTTGTTCCGGCATTGTCATTACCCATGTGTAATAGATTGGGCAATTACCGTCGGGCTGCATTGATTTCTGCAGAAAGGAAAGCCGCGTCACCATACATCACAAATGCAAGAAATCAAAATAAAATAAATCAAAATCAAAGATTTCACACCTCCGTGAAGCACCTACTGTGAATTTCTCGTACAGAATCAGTTATAGAAATTAAAAAGAAATACTTAAAAGTATGTGCATATTCTAACTGCCACTACCTCCCAGCCTGCGGGGAGACCATTTTGACCTCTAGCTAGTCTGCGGTTATATCATTCCCCGGGCCCCTCACGTATTGTGATTCGGTGTATTCAAATAACCACATACACGAAGGTTACAAGATACGCGGACCTTGCCTAAGTACAGAACTACTGTGTGAGTGTGAGCGGGCAGCTGTTGTGCATCATGGCCCTGTTAACCAAAAAATGGATACAGGAAGCTCCGATGCAGATGTACAGAAAGTCGCTGGGGGGGGCTCAATTCTGATCATGCATTTCATAGATACCAAAAAGATACCAAATATCTTAACAATCCGCGCATAGTTTCTTGGGTTATGCTGTTCGCCGCCACCGATCAACAGAACTCAAGACCACAACCGTAACTATAACAGACATAAAAGAGGTAATAAACCGTTCATCTTCACTAAAAGCTTGTAGCAGAAGCCAGTCGGGTACCGCACGTCTGCAGCCGTCCCGGGAACCAGTCGTACGCCGCGATAATCGCCGTAACTATCTACTTACATCTCCATTAGGGCGGGACACATGGCGGGCTGTCCTGGGACGGCTGTCTGTGTGCCGGTATCAGCCACACAGAACCAGACTGGTGTCATAGCCTTATACTATAGTATTAACGAGAAGGTTCGTGGGCGGAATGGAACCTTTTCTCGGCGGCTGGATGTAGGATGGCCGGCTAAGTTATAAGCTATTCAAAACGCTGTATCAAAATCTCCACCCGCCCCGGAGCCTGCACAGGAGGTATTCATTATCACTGTACGCGACATTACAACAACAGCGACAAGAACAGAAGGGAGGTGCACAATCGACTGGTATTTTTTCAATCCTTTTTTCCACTATAATGAACAACGATCTCAAACAGTACTCAATAGAGCTTTACATTATAGAGACTATAGTTCCGACTGCGTACAATATTAAAGGAAAACAAGCAATTGCAAATAAGCAGTGAAACCCACATACGAGTACATGTACTACGTATCTTTATGTACGAAATTGCAATTACAACAAGAACTGTTTTACACCAACCAACCATAGTGTTACAACTCCGAAGACGAGCACAACCTTTGGTAGCTTTGCAATCGTTTGATGTTTCCACAGTAATAAAGTAATGATTCCATCGGTAGGTAATACTGTTTTCCTCTAGAGTAATTAACTTCCGCATCAGGAACATCCACTGGCCCGTAACGTCAGCTAATCGGCCCGAAATGAAGGAACGTGCAGCTCGTGTTGGGACCGGGCTTCTGCAATCAGTAATACTTTCCACGACAACAGAAGTAAAATATAGGTTATTCCGAGGATTTTCTTAACATATTTGATGAAGGATCAGCGATTCCTAATATTGCAAGGTTTGTGTGCCATAGATCCTGTCTGTATTACGTCTGTACTTTTGTGGGTCAGCCTTAACTAGCTGAGTCTCCCTGTGCTGACCCACGTACTGACTTGTATCATTGCCAATGAACACAAATACAATGCCCTTCACAGTGTCCCTTTTCACATAGAGATTCCTAGCATCCATAAAAACACACATAATGTACTTTTTGTGGGTCAGACTATTCCAACTGAGTCTGTCTCCGATGATCCAAGTCACGGCATCCAAAAAGCAACCACAATGTCATCCGCGCTGCTAAATAGCCCATTTGCGACAAACATTCCCTAAAGAGCCAACATTACCCCATATATGCTGCCAGATAATACAGTCCCTTCGCGGGTTGTATGACAAACAGCGCCGTGACCAGAGGCGGCACCATCGGGTAATGATGTTCCCAACAACAGGTGTTATCTCCGTCACTTCTGACACGGACAGCGCCGCGCCACATCAGCCGTACAAACAGTCCTTCACTGATGGGTGTTTCACGTGAGGAGAATCCTGTACACGTTCAGCACACACTCACTCACACTCACACACACACTCTCACGCAAACACACACAAAACACACACACACACATACACAAACACACACACACACACAGACACACACAGACAGACAAACACACACACACACTCTCACGCAAACACACACAAAACACACACACACACACACACACAGACACACACAGACAGACAAACACACACACACACTCTCACGCAAACACACACAAAACACACACACACATACACAAACACACACACACACACACACAGACACACACAGACAGACAAACACACACACACACACACTCACGCAAACACACACAAAACACACACACACAAACACACACAGACACACACAGACAGACAAACACACACACACTCTCACGCAAACACACACAAAACACACACACACATACACAAACACACACACACACAGACAGACACACACACACAGACAAACACAAACAAACACACACACACAGACAGCACACACACACACACACAGACAGCACACACACTCACAGACAGCACACACACTCACAGACAGATCATGGAGGCAATTAGTACATTATTCATCACAGCCCCATAGTTACGCTTTATATGCCGCAGTCTGATGAGTCTAAGTAAGTGATCAGTGACCCGTATTGATGTATCACCCAGACTGTGCAATGACTGGGTGCGTTACGTCGGCGGCAGGCCTTACGTAAGACCCGAGAAGCTCTTCGATCGGAAACGTTGCCGTCTTGAAGAAGCTAGGATATCGAGTTTCCTACGTATTGCCGGCCGAGGATTGGCTGCTGCTCAGATGACGTCTGCACACGTGGGTGTGTGCTAACATAATGACGCGATTCACTCCCCTCCGACAGCGGCCAGTAGTGGAGTCGGCTCGCCCAGAACCGCAGCCAACCTGCGTTCCGTCACGTGGAAGTCAGCGCATCGATAGAGATAATTAGCTATTCCTCGTGGACAGTTATGACTTATTGGCGGAGGACTGCATCGTCCACACAGGAAGAGTCTTGTGGATAACCCGGGTGTGCTCGCCCTGCCTGTCAGTTAACACACTCCTGTGACTGCCTCTGCAGGCGTGTGCACGACTTGTGAGTATGACTGACTGCCTGGCACACCCTGCCTGTATCTCTATCTGTATAGCCGGTATAACCGCCTTTCGGTGTAACACACCAGCTTCCGTACATGTATGATCAGTGAGTGAGTCTGTGCAGCACACCTAGATTGTGTGAGTACGCCCCTGACTGTCTGTACAGGTATGATCAGTGTTGTCTGAGACTCTACATTGTAAGTCAGCATCCAGCCCAGCACTATGAAGGCCGACCCTGCGATGTTAGCCCTCGCGACTCTCGCGCTCATCTCTGCGGCGACAAGCCTGGAAACCGCCGGCACAGACTCCACCGCCAGCACGGAGACATGGTGAGTACATGCCTGCCTTTGTCTATATTACATTACTGTCACTTCCTAGACTTGCGTTCACTTGTGATTTTGCAATTATGGCTGGAGCCTTTCAGTCAGTATCACCGGTACGTCCAGAAGTGAAATAGGCATAGGTGGGGATAGAATAGACATTCGCCGCTGTTGTCTTATTTTATACTCTCCAAGCAGAAGTTGTGGGGAATGATCGTTACCTTTTTATATATGGCCGTTTTTTTTCCTGTCGGTGGCCGCGGAGCTTCTCTGGCTAATGGCTACTGCCTGGCCAATTTGATATTGTCTTTTTTGCCACCGCGAGGGATCTGCTTGGAGATTATTATTTTAGAGACACAGCGTAATCGGTGAAAAGCTGTCTTTGTCTATTATACCGTCATCTCCTAGACTCGCGTCTACTTGTGATTTTACAATCACGGTAGGGGTATGTTAGTGCGTATCATTAGCACGTCCAGAAATTACCCCGTCCAGAGAATACTAGAATGGAATTGAAATAGAATTCGGCACTGTTGTCTTTTTTAAGAAACACGGGGTATCGGTGAAATTGCGGGTGGTCTGAATGAACGACATAACGGAAAAAGCCACGGTCACCAGCTCCAAAGTTATATCTACATTGCATATTCTTTATATTTTTCGTCATGCGAGTCAGTAGCAATTTGCATCTTGGAACATAATAGAGCATTGTTGTGTCCAGAACCGTGTTTTATCCAGAACTATGCTCATGCACGATTCTAGATAGTCCACGCGTAGACATAACTGAGTCTGGGGAAAATCTACATCCTATGAAACGCGGGGGGGGACTACATCGGTTTTACACACTCTAGAACCATGCCTGATCCTGGCTCTAACCCATTTGGCGCATTGAACAAGCTGCAAGCACGTTCCTGAATACAATGCATGTACGCATCTCTCTGTGGTAACGCCTTGAATATCTGGGCAGAGGAGTTATGTATTAACACCGGACAGAAAGTGGTTCAGAGTGCAGCCCAGAGAAACCATTATTCCAGAAGACCCAGTCTTCCGCCTGGCTAATAGCCTGGTATCCAGTCCTACGTGATTGGGGGTATTGGGGTGTTCGGGCAGGTTGTGCCTTCGGGGGCTCTAATAGCTTCCCCCGCCCAGTGCAACAGGCCGTCCCGGTAGGAGTGTTACGCTAATAGCAGTATGCTTGGGAATTTGGTTTTCGAGGAGGGCTAATCAATCTCTGGTGAAATACACACCGGGAAACCTATGTAAGGTGGGCGGGACAGAGCTCTTTCGGCCCCGACCACGATCAGACTGTATATAAGGCTACCTGGCTAAGGGCGGGTAAACGATCCTGTCATTGACCATAGCATGTTTCATCGGTCCCCGCAAGGCTCTGTCTATGGTAACACAATAACAATGGTTTATCTTAAGGAGAACGCAATTACACTGCCGCTCCTTGGTAATCTGCCCGCTGAATTGCATCAGTGCAACGCTGCAATACGATATAGCACAGAAACTTGGCAGGGACAGTCTCCCACTCGGCAGCATCACACGCGTCAGTACCGGCTGTTGTAGATTAAACTGCTGACATCAGCAGATTCCGCTGGCGCAATGAGGTGCGCGGCTGTTTCCGTCCCTCCATTCATCATCAGGACGTAATTGGGTCGCGTGTTATCAAGAAAGCTTTTAATGAACGCTTACCTGAACACTGCAAACTAATATCTATCGATTAATATTGCATTAATTCCCATAAGTTGTGGGAAATGCGGGACTTGAGAGCTTATATGGCGGTTCTACACGGGTGGAAACGTGCCTCGTGCGGCGCGAGTTGAGCTTTCTGATTATATGCGTCTGTACGGACATGTGATGAAGCACAAAGCCTTGATGATTTCGTCTATAGTCTAACCATGTACGGAGAGGTGATGGATGCTGATGGTATGAAGAGAATACCCTCAATGACAAAGTGTTCTGACGAACATGTACCAAGCAGAATGCTTCTATATACGAGGATGAAAATCGCCAAGAGCCAAAACTGGGCTGAATTTATGAATCATAATCACAATAATCACTCCTTTAATTGTAGCTGAGGCTCAGAGAAAATACTGGATAAAAACATGAAAGAAAATATTGAAGAGAGCCTAAACATTGTCTGCTCTTCGTTTGCCAGTCCCTAGACATGCGGTCGTCATACCAAATATACCTGAATCTGAATCTATCCACGGCATCCTTTTGTGCGACTGGCAGCATTTAGGAAAGCAAGTCCCGCTGATCGCTTCAATACAGACAGGTAGAAGTCTAGTTTTAGTTATAAGTACAGATAAGCACAGACACGTTGAAAGAAATTCAGATATAAGATGTTACACTGCAAGTCCAGTTAGTTCAGGGCCTTCAATGTTTTAGAAAATCATTACACATGATCACGAGGAGGGTGCCACGATTGAGTAATAGAATGTTGTAGCCTAATCGTTGCACTGCCCAAGGGCCATACTGGAGTCAGTTGGCGCGGGGCCAGTAACCAGAGTACACAGTCTATTGTGAAGATTATGAGACTCTGCCGAAGCACTTAGCATTCATCGGCCCATTTACGGCTGGACTAGCTCCAATCCGTACCTCCCTGGTCCGGCTGATAGTCTAAGTACCGGCTATTCGTCAAACCCTTCAGAGATTTTCCCGGGATCAGTTTCTGTGGGTGACAGGCGAGATGGCTCTTACTGTGGTACGCCCGATGGAAGCGCCCATCTCGTGCCGGAGTCATGAGCAGTTTGGCTCTAATCTGCGGCTTACAGAGTGCAGTTTAGGGCATTTTGATGTGATTATGTGGATGACATCCTCTGGGAACCCCAAAACTGATGCAAGCGTGTGAATAAAAAAGTTTGGCCAAAAAAAAAAGTTGCTTTCATTATGAAATCTACGTGGTTATGAAGGTTTACCAAATGACACGAAGTATCGTATGGAGAATAATCTAGTCTTCAAATTAATTTCTTTACATTTTCGTCTTTTTCGTTTGATTTTGGCATTCTAGCACGTCGTTATCATTTTCCAATATTTTTTTTCAACTTACGGTATATATCTGCTGATTTTGTAACTGTTTTGTGCAATTTACAGTATGATTGAAAACTTGGGGGGGGGCGAAAATTCATGCGCGTGTAGATGTCGTCCATAATTTTTTTAAAGGTTAAATCAACACGGCCTTACCGCGGCAGTCGTCTTATCTATCCGCGGACACTGAGCGGCCTTGGGGGCAGCTTACCGCCCCAGGGTTTATATATATCAACGACGTAGAACCGTAAACACCGGCTTATAGCAGGGCACTACAGGTCAGGATGCCGCGCCCCGCATGATCTTCTGTCATCAGATGTCAACTATGGTAATATTAATGTTAGATCTGCTTATACACAGACACACACACACACACACACACACACACACACACACACATATATATATATATATATATATATATATATATATATATATATATATATATATATATATATATTGGCATGGTCATCAAATATAAATGCATAGTGTATGTGTGCATATTTGGTTACTAACTCAGTAATCCGACTTTACCAAAAGGTTAGAGAATGTAAGATGAGGGTAAGATGCCATCATTTACTTCACGATGTGTAGTGGGGTTTTTTTTTTGCGACACATGTACTCGGAGATGCTGAAACAATAATAGTCCAGGACAGTGCTGCAGTGGGCTAGTAATATAGCCGTGCTGAGCGGTTAGGCAGGGAGATTTCTGCATGACGCACAGACGTAAGCTCAGCAGACCCGCGGGAAATCTCACGGTCTCCCAATATCGTCCACACAAAATCCAGCTTAACTTTTTTCTAAAGCAACGACCATTTTTTTTTTCTATTCCACTATTCCAACATCTATCACAAGACATGGTGACGGCACACTCAATTTTTTAACTTATATTTATGCCGCCACCAACGCAGACAAACGCATGTACGAACAGGCATACTCATTTTCACCTGAGTAAAGCGAGGAAATTCGTATTTTTCCCAAGGGCAAAAGATCGGAGGCATGGTAGGATTCGAACCTCTTGGTTCCGAGCCTAACGCTCTGTCGTTATACGCCATATCGCCCCACGACCAGTTGCACGTCCACCTGGGTTAGGTTAGTCTTCGGGAAGGCCGTATTCAGCCATATATGTGGCAAGGGCTCTCCCTTCTGCCGTGTAACAGTGGCTTTCCCCTCTGCCGTGTGGCATGTCCTGCCGACCTTGGGACTCCGCCGGGAATCGCCGCTGATGAAGCGGTTCGATCCGCCATCGTGGCTAACGGCAAATACATCACTTACCCAATCAGGGGCGTCTCCCAGCCGAACAAAAACCATGGCCTGCCTACCTGCCTATATGCACAGGCCCCTTGCTCCCCTCCGTCAGGTACTTCCAGCCAGCTGTATCAAGGGCAATAGTCTCTGCTTCTCTTAGGGTAAGTCCTGTGTCACTCTGAATCTGGTCTTTCCACTTCTTGGGTGGTCTTCCCCGGGGTCTAGGGTTTTGGAACTCCCGGTGGTATGCCTGGTAAACTAAGGTGTTTACTGGTCTTCGCATCACATGCCCAGGAGAGAAGGTGAAATGGCTCATACACAAGAATGCTGAAAAATGCCTCAAACATCTCATGGACACAAAGAATTTCAAACCGTGAGCTATACAAGAATATGCTGCCGATTGCTGAAACAACATGGCAAAGGACACGTTTTGTAGGCCACTGTTGGAGGAACAGGGGTGGAGTAGTACAAACACTCTTACTGTGGAACCCGAGTCATGGAAACAGAAGTCCACACTTGACTTACATTAATCAGCTACAAGCTGACAGTGGAATGAGCCAATACTGCAACGATGGATGAGAGAGAAATCATGACTCAGACCACAAAAGCCGATAATGAACATGAAAAACACATGATAGATGCGGGAAACGTAACTACCATTGAGAGTAATTAAAACGATAGATGTTGCGTAATGATTAGGGGCTGTTGATGAAGATATATGTGAACGCTAATGA